TATTGTTGGGGATTTTAATATTCACGTGTGTTGTCCCGACAGGCCCATGGCAAAGGGCTTTTTAAACCTTATTGATTCGTTTAATCTGGTGCAATGTGTGACAGGTCCCACACATGAACGTGGACACACGCTTGATCTTGTTTTATCTCATGGTTTTTCTGTTTCTAACATAGAGATTTGTGATGCTGTGTTTTCTGACCACAGTCCTGTGATGTTTGAAGTTCCTCTTGCCTGTGCCTCAGTTAAAACTCGCGCTGCTGCTCAGCGCTGTCGTGTTCTTAACTCCTCCACTGCTGAACACTTTTCAACAGTCTTTGACCAGTTCTGTAAGATCCCGGATTTTTTATGCAGCCAGACTGAGGAACTGAGCTCATGGTTTTATTCTACCTGTCGGACTGCTTTGGACATTGTGGCTCCATTAAAATCCAGACTGCCTAAAACTAAATCTGAGCCCTGGCTGAACGACTTGACCCGAGCTGTCAGACGCGATTGCCGTCGAGCTGAGCGCAAGTGGAAAAAGGACAAACTACAAGTGTCATTCCAGATGCTGAAGGACTGTTGGCGTCAATATCAAAGAACTGTAAAAGATGCCAAAAGAAAACACTTATCTGACATTATTTTGTCAAACTGCCACAACCCACGTGTTTTATTTAATACTATTAACTCTGTTCTTAATGCACCATATACTGACTGTATTGAGCCCTCAACAGAAGCCTGTGAAAATTTTTTACACTTTTTTATCGAGAAGGTCTCCTCCACAAGGGCTCAAATCTCTTCTCATGCTCACGACCTCTCAGTCTCTGCTTCCTGCTCTGCTGTCTTTGACAGGTTTGAGCCTGTCAAAGGTTTATTTAAATTAAACAAGACATTCTACAGGTTGAATAAAGACACTCAGACTGTTGTTCAAGGTTCAACAATGAAGACGTGCACGGGTGGAAGCTCGAAGGAGATCCACACCCGAGGCCTTGCAGTCAGATTTATTTATACAAAGGGACAGTTGCATTTCCTGTTTTTCAAGCATATTTATCAGCATGTGTGTGTGTTCTGTGTGTGTGTGTGTGTGTACGTGACAGGATGTAATGGCATGTGATACACAAATATATGAGCATTGTAATACATTCGAAAGCTTCATAACGGAGGTATCTTTTAATAATAGACATCTGCAGTTTAAACTTTAAGAGTTACTTCTAATGTCCCTGTGAAATATATGAACATTCTGAAGCATGCTAAGTAATAAAACCTTAATGCATAAGTGAATAAATCATAGTACAACTTAAATTCTTCTAACATTCCCTCCTGTTGTTCAAATATTTCATCTGTAACTTTATTGAGTTCAGTAGACAATCACTTGTGAAACATTTTCAATTGCCACGTCATTGACTAAGTACAGACGGAAACTACACATAGTCGTCATCTTCTTCACTGTCCGGGTTCTGATCGCTGTCATAGGCTGCGGGATTATGCACTGCTACATAAGCATTAACGGAATGAGCTATCATATTTGACACCATTTTCTTAAAGCAGGGTATTACACAGGTTGTGAAAACACACATTAATAAGAGTAAGGAGGCAATTCCAACAAGTCCTTTAATCAACAGGGACCTCCACGATCCGTTCAATAACCATGTTAACCAATCTTCAGGATCTATCTCTCTTATGTCAAAATGAAAACATAACTGTAAATTCAGACACGTTAGGTCGTGCTGAAAAGGATGATACCAAACAAGACAAAGCTTTTAAAGGTGAAATGTGGAGGGAAAATCAAAAGCAGTTAAAAATGGGCAATTATACCCTGGACCCCAGAGGGTTAAACATTTTATTTAAAGTAACGCAATAGTTATTTTCAAGTAATTAATTACTTTTAGAATATTGTAACTCAGTTACTTTTTTGAAGAAGTAACTAGTAACTATAATTAATTACTTTTTCAAAGTAACTTGCCCAACACTGGTTTTAAGTTCAGCAAACTTTAGCGAAGCATGTATCTACCATTGCTGTGTCACAATTTGGCCACAATGCCTGCTGCTCAGCAAGTTCTACATTCTTCAGTTTAAAAAAATGTTGTACCTTGCTAAAAAAAAAAAATTAAAGCAGCAATTAAAATGGTATATATTCATGTTTGTCGAAATGGTATTTAAAATGTTAGAGCCTGTTGGCTGAGGTACATTGTAGTGTTGAATTATTTTGATAGCCTTTTCTGTCTTTTGTCTATATGTCTACTGCTATTGTTAAAAAGGTAGAAATGTCAGAAAATATATATTTGAAATATCCTCATTTAAAAAAGCTAAAGTAAAAGAAAGGTTGCATATTTCAAATATCTTTTAATCTAGTTTATACTTTTAATATTTTTCATTGGTTGTTTTTCTACTTCTGACTTCTGATCTGACTTTTCCTGCAGGTGACAGATTCGGGGAAGCCTCCTTTGTCATCCTCCTCCATACTCACAATCAGGGTGATTGAGGAGAGCCTCCATCGACCAGTAGCAGTACCACTGGACATTCATATTGTTACTATGGAGGATGAATTTCCTGGTGGTGTGATTGGTCAGCTACATGCCACCGATGCTGACCCTTATGATGTTTTGACTTTTGGTCACGCTCCTTCAGCTCAACGTAGTCTCTTTAAGATTAGTCCTCATGATGGAAAGATCATAGCCCTGGGTGGTTTGGATGCAGGCAGGTACTTTCTTAATGCTAGTGTCAGTGATGGCCGCTTTGCTGTTCCTGTACCCGTAAGTGTGCATGTGGAGCAGGCAACACCAGACATGTTGCGTGAAGCAGTGACAGTGCGTTTTGAGAGAGTGGCACCACAAGACTTTGTGACGTTGTACTTGAAAAGCATGTTAAATGTGCTCCAGCAGTGTGCTGCTACTCAACAGCAGGACTCACTGCATTTGCTAAGTTTGCAGCCAGTTGGAGGGACGCAACAGCTGGATATGCTCATCACCATGGAAAAAGCAGGTGGTGGATACTATAGGGCAGCCTACCTCACCCAAAAACTAAGTGCATCACGGCGAAACCTGGAGGAAGTGCTTAGAGTGTCAGCTATCCTGGATAAGAACTGTTCTGGATTAGACTGTCGTGGGGCTCAGTGCGAACAGAGCATTGTCTTGGATTCACACAATCTCGCTACATATAGTAACCCACGGGTCAGCTTTGTCTCACCTCGCTTTCACCGGACCTCACGCTGTACATGCAATGGTAAATCAGAATTGTTTTTCTTTGCAGTCTTGCCTTAGACTACATGTAAGATACCTTTTTTGTGTATAGCACTTTGTGACTGGTAAAGTAAATTAAAGTAATTTTATCCAGTTGCACTGCAGCTTAGGTTAAGTGGGGTGAGTTGGGTACTTGCTAAACTCCCCTTGCTGTCTTTGTTTCTTCTATTGTTTCTTACTGTGAGTTTCATTGGGATAGTTTCTCAATAGTTTCTTACTTTCTGTCCCTGTGTTTTGTGTGCATGTGTGTATGTATGACAGATGACAGCTGTTCTGTCCTGTCAGAACAATGCGAGGACCAACCCTGTCCACCAGACATGCAGTGTGTTTCAATAGAGGCCAATAGAGGGCGTTATGCATGCCAGTGTCCACAAGGCAAACTTGGAGAGTGTGCAGGTACATATGTTAGCAAAAGAGAAACAATCCAAAGTCAGCATGAAAATAAAAAATGCAAGAACAACAAGTAAAAACTAACTGTAATGTAACTCTAGAGTAATGTCTAACATTTGTTGTTGTTATTTTTGGTGCAGGACATTCATCTTTGAGTTTCTCAGGTAACAGCTACATCAAGTACAGACTCTCTGGCCAGCTGCAAACAGAGTTGAAACTGAGCCTGAGGATCAGAACACTGCAGAGCCAAGGAATTATCATGTACACACACACTGAGCCCTGCACTGTGCTTAAGGTACATTCACACATATTACTGTAGTGTTTCCACCACTGCAAAGGACATTTTATTGATAGTCATTTGTTGAAAAGTAACCCATCATGTCATATCATAGCATATCATATCATTAACAGAAGCCTAAATCTTATGCTACTGAGCTCTTGAGTCGTTAAAATAGTCTAGTCTTACTACATTTAGTAAACTCTTTTAAATTGAGTTTTCCTATGCTTATGTTTTATTTGTTCATATTATCACTTTGTTTTTGTTCAAATTGATTTAAACTAATTTTACTTTTTTGTATTAAATTCAGTTTTGTTTTTACTTAAAACTTAAAAAAGTCTGTTCATATTGTATTTTATTTTACTGAGCAGCACGCCATTCCACCTATTTAAGCTATTTTTTAATGTATGTTTGTCATGTTTACCTTAGCTGCTATAATCTTATCTGTGTTTAGAACCTGTCATGCAGTTAAGTCCAGGTCAAAGTGTTTCACAGGTGATTGACAAGCCAAATAAATAACGTGTCATAATAAGAAGATAAAAATAAACTGAAGAGAATAAATCATTAGATTAATTAATTATTTGATTAAATAAATGAAAATTTAAAACAATCTAAAAGCAGAGCAAGAGTGTAAGATAAGATACATGAAGATGGCGGTGTGCTCCTCCGGTGTACACTCTTTTTTTCCTTTTTGCATGTTTTTTTGTTAGCGCTAATTTCACTTCTGTTTTTAAGGATATATAATATGAAAACTTTGCATAAAACATCCCGCAAATATTTCAGAAGTATTCGGAAGAGAGGCGAACAGTTTAAGTCTACTGAAAACTGAAACTTTGTCTCTGTTTTAACAGAGACAGAGTGACACTGAAAACTCACTAGATCATGACTTCAGCCTCAAACACTCCCAAACAGCCATGGCAACTCATGGTATCATCACTAAACATCTGTAGCAGTTCATGGTACAAAAGGCTGCATCATGGCATTGCTTCGAAATGCAGCAGAAAGTTGTGACAGCACCACTTTGGAATGTACCCTAAACAGTCATCAATCACAAATGCCACCACAAGTTATGGCATCATCTCAAACATCTAAACATCACCCTTAAAGAGTTACAGGAGCTTGTGGCTTGACCTCTAATGGCAGGTCATAGCAACTGATGGTGTCACAACCTCAGGGGTCAGCAACCGTTAAGACCCTGTTTCCACACAAAACAGAAACACTGGGAGCCGCAAATACTTTTTGACATCTAAAATTAAGATAATACTGTATATATTGTTTTTTACTTTAATGCTTTGTGTGAAACAACTAAGGTGTGTTGCTTATGAAATCCATGAAGTGCTACAGAGAAAATTACATTTTATTTATGTAATTAACACATTTTGAACTCTTAAAGAAATCTAACAAAAGGAAAGACACCCAGCTGAACTAAAATGATCCATGTAGCAAACAAAAACTGTTGTGAGCCGCCACCCTTATATCGCCTTTGGGCTTTTGGAGCCTTGACCTGACTTTAAAAAAATAATTGGAAAAAAAGCACTATGCTGCTAAAAAATGAAAAATAAATATTTGCAAAATCCTGCCTAAATATGTATTTTACCTGGTTAATGTGTGTGGCCGGGTGCGGTCTGCAGCACTGCTGCAGGGGAGGCGGACGCACCAGAGCAGCACCCACAATCACGACTCGCCACCTTAACGTCTGTGCTATCTATGCTGTTGTTGGTATATGTCGGGCTGTGAGCTGAAAAGCTACAGCCGGCTGTATGCATACAGCAACAGTGTGTGAAAATTGGTCAATAAAGAGATGCTGAAAAGCATGTTCATGGAAACATCGTCGGGTCTGCCGTGATATGTTTACAATGGGGCTGTACTTTCATCTTTACGCAGGACTGTAAGCTGCCATCTGTGAGGCGTGAGCGGTGTTTGTCTTTAACATTCTCACGGTGGAGAATAGCTGCTGACAATGTGGACCCGAAGATCCATAACTGGCCTACCTGGGGTTGAAAGTCTCGATAAATGCACGGCGTTTCGGCGGGTACACCGGCTTCCGCGAGTGTGACACTTATTTTGAGCGATGAAAAAATAATAAAATATCATTTTATTTTTATATTACAATGTCACAACAATCTTCCAATTTAGAACTACAAGTTAAAAAATAACTAACAGAAATAAAATACACTTCAGCTAAGTACTTCTAATTTATTTTCCCAAACCACGCGGAGCCGCACTATAAGGACAGAAGACCCCTGCACTACCTGTACGACTACTAGGTGCTAATACCACACTTTAGCAATTGATCCAGAGAGACAGCTAGCTCATAGGATTGCAGAACTCTCAGCAACTTTATCTCCACTGCTACTTCTCTCTATTATAAACAAAATGAGGTTACAACTGAGGTTACAGATTGCTACACAAGTTTGAACCAGGACTGTTGCATTCTTTTAATTAGAGACCAATGCAATATCTGACTGTTAAAGACTGTTTTATCTTCATTTTATCCTCATGAGTTTGCAGTCAACACGACAATGTCAATGTATAGCCCAACTGATGTGAATGTTAGTATAGTTCTGATCCATCTATGAATGAAATAACCAAGCAGCAAAACATGATGGAGCAGTTTATATTATAAGTCGATATTTCAGTGATAGGGCTTTAAATTATGACTCAGAAATAAGGTGGTAAATTAAGGTCGAAATAAGAAAGCAATAATATGGAAATAGCACATTAATACCACTTAATTACCAAATTAATACCCATGTAGTAGCCAACTACCGTTGATACATATTATTGACACACAGGTATAGCTGTGTAATATTACATTGAAATTCATGTAACTGGGTAATAATTGTACCAAAATTGGAACTAATATTGTGGGGGGAAAAACATGAGTATGGGGCAAAACCAGTTAGCAATAGTATAGTTATATTTTGCTAACAATAGAGAATTTTTCTATTGTTGGTATGTGGCTTCCTACTAAAATTTTAGTGGTAAAGGCTGCAAAACCTGAAAAAAAAAAAAAAAACTGTGATCAACCATTTTAATAGGCACACAGAGGGATCATGCATTTAGCCAGCCACAGAAAACAGCCAGCCACAGATATGCCAAATAAATTTGCAAGGTATGCAGGTGTACCTAATATAGTAGCTGGGCACATGTAGAAAACAGCCAGCCACAGATATGCCAAATAAATTTGCAAGGTATGCAGGTGTACCTAATATAGTAGCTGGGCACATGTAGTAGTAATGTGATAGCTGCACACTGACAAACTGTTCCCACAAAGTTGGGAGAATGAAATTGTTAAAAATGTCTTTGTATGCTTTGTATGAACCATTAGGTGGTCTTTTCACTGAAACGAAGTGACTGAGCCCAACCCCTTAAAAACATCCACACCACACCACAATCCCTCCCCAAACTTTACACTTGCCACAGTGCAGTCAGACAATTATGGTTCTCCGGGCAATCCAAACTCATTCATTTGATTGCCAGACAGAGAAGTGTGATTCATTACTCTAAAGAACACCTCTCCACTGTCTAGTGCAGGGGTGGGCAATCTCAGTCCTCGAGGGCCGGTGTCCCTGCAGGTTTTAGATCTCACCTTGGGTCAACACACCTGAATCACATGATTAGTTCGTTACCAGGCCTCTGGAGAACTTCAGGACATGTTGAGGAGCTAATTTAGCCATTTAAATCAGCTGTGTTGGTTCGAGGACACATCTAAAACCTGCAGGGACACCGGCCCTTGTGGACTGAGATTGCCCACCCCTGGTCTAGTGGTTGCATCGTTAACGATTCTGTATCTGATGTAATGTTGGATGCAGCCCATGGAGATCTTGACACACTGTTCTTGAGCTAATCCGAAGGCCACAAGAAGTTTGGAGGACTGTAGAAATTGGCTCTGCAGAAAGTTTGCAAACTCTGCACGCTATTGATCCATTATTTCACAAAAATTTGTCAATTAATCTGCATACCTAGGTGCTTGGTTGTATACACCTGTGGCCATGAATGTAACTCAAACACCTGGATCTATGATTTGGATGGGTGAGTGAATACTTTGAGCAATATAGTGAATAACCATTAAACTGGAAGAGAGATAAGCATGTGATGTGAGGTAACATAAAAAATCTCAGCCAATAGCAAAGGCAGAGAAAGAGAGGAAATTATGATTAACCAATGAAATGATAACTTTCAAATGAATCAACTCTTTCATTCTCATTGGCTTGCACTTCTGTCAGCAGTGAAGTCAATGAGTTACCATGGTGATGACCTTCAGTGTGTGTCTGTGTCTGGCATTTGGGCCCGTCTCTGTGAAGGGCTTGACACTCTTCTCACAAAGAATCTAGTAGGCTCTTAATAGTAGGTTTGCATTTTGCAACTTTAATTCCAAGTTATTATACAGAAACTGTCACCCTTGTTTAATGATAATAAGCCACTCCATTAAATATAATGTGTTACCTTCAGTTTTACCTTCAAAAAAAGAATATTCACATGTTGCATTAATCAATACTACCTTATTATTATGAGATTACTACTTCTCGTCACTATGTATACAACCCATCCAATCCACACATGCCAAGTCAAACCATAGATGTTCACAAATTTAGTTTGTGTAATAATGAGAAACTACACAGGGAAGGAGTATTGAATAGATGAAAAAAGGGAGGTGCTAAAATGCATGGAAGGTCATGACAGTAGCTGAAATCTATCAATAACTGGAAAACAATCCTGCCACTTAGTGCAAATTAATATCAGTAGCTTCAGTCCTCATTGATGGCCTATAAAAGTAGTGCCTCATTACCAAGGTTTCACACAAAGGGTATCTAATGTTGAGTAAAACCAATGAGCTCTCTTAAGACCTTTGCCACGTTATTGTTGGAAAACATACTGATGGAATTGATTACAGCAGAATTTCTAAACAAGGCCATACACTTTATAGGCCTAAACTTTAAATGAAGGGCATTTAAAGTTTGCTGAACAAAATTTAGGCAAGCCTGTGAAATACTGGGAGGATTTCACAGTCTGGTCCAATGAAACCAAAATGGCACTCTTTGAATGCCTTAATACACACTAGGCCATAATACACACAAGGTCAAAAGGCACTGCACATCAATCAAAAGCACCATATCAACATTAAAGTTTGGAGGTGTTAATATCATGTTATGGGGCTGTTTTTTAGCAAACAGTACTGGCACTCTTCAAATAATTGAAGAAAGGATGAATGGAAAAATGTATAGGGATATTCTTAATTTAAAAACATTTACTGCCATGTACCAGGATGACAATGGTAGACGCTTCAGTAAGACAATGATCCCAAACACACGGCCAAAGAAACTCAAAATTGGTTTCAGAGAAAGAAAACAAAGCTGCTAGAATGGCCCGGCCAATTATCTGGCCTGAATCCAACTGAAAATCTGTGGAAAGACCTAAAGCTTGTGCTCATAGTAAGAGCGTTTAGGATTTGAAGACCATTTGTGTGGAAGGATGGACCAAAATCACACCTGAGCAATGCATGCGATTAGTTTCTCACGATACAGGAGGCATCTTGAAGCTGTCATCACCAACATCTATGTTTTTTCTTACAGTTAAATCTTTTGCAGAATGTTTTTTTTTTATGTAACACTACATTTATGTGCTTTGATGTTTCAAAGACTGTGTGTGTGTGTGTGTGTGTGTGTGTGTGTGTGTGTGTGTGTGTGTGTGTGTGTGTCCATGCAGTTGGAGGATGGGAAGCTGTGGTTCCAGTTGGCTTGTGGCCTTGGTGGAAATGATGACAGCCCTGACATGCTGGGCATCTCGGGTCGTCGTATCAATGATGGGAGCTGGCACACAATGGCACTTGAACTGAATCGCAACTTCAGCAGCTTGGCACTTGATGACAGCTATGTTGAACGACGCCGTGGACCATCATTTGTACAGAGACTACCTACAACTATCTTCTTTGGAGCACTGGTCAGTTCATGAGTACCTAGGGTTAATAACTGCCTACAGGAGTTATTAACAGCTTTTTCATACTTCATCTCCTTTACACCAGACATGTTGACCAAGGGCAGATGGCAAACGGAAACTCATCCCTTACAATGTTAAATCACTGAACCTCGTTTACCTGTTAATGCTAGCTGTGTTTCACAGATAGTAACTGATCTGAAGACAGTAAAAACCACAGACCTCTAGCAGCTTGCTTCACAGTCAGGTCTTCCCTCTATTTACCAACAAAAATAAGTGGTTTATCCTTAAAGAACAAGCTGCTACCCTCTGAGCTTGTCATTGTTGACAGGGCATAGACATGGCCTCAGAAGAACCAACAATCAGACAACCCCCTACGAGCAAGCACTTTGGTGAGAGTGGGAAGGAAAAACTCCCTTTAAACAGGAAGAAGGCTGTAAGTCTAGCAGGATAGACACAGATATGAGTCCACTGCAGTAACCTGTCGTAAAGCTGTTACTCTACTTTGATGAGCTTTGAAAACTGAGTGAAAATGTTGAAGTAAACCATGGCTCTAGTGGTGATCAGTTAGCTATTTTACAACTGTTCGAAGGTTGGAGATTGGCCTATAATTAGCTAAGACAGCTTGGTCAAGTGATAGCTTGATATCATCTGTGAAAATCTGAGACTATTTTTTAGTAACTACATGAATGTTCAATCACTCACAATTATTTTATCTGAACTGATCACTAAGTTAAAAAGACTGAAATTTGAGATAGAAAATCTGAGTGAGTGCCAATTGGACAATAGATAACAACACATAAAACTGGCTTTTGAGTTTTCCAGCAGTGGTAGACAAGGCTAAGCGTGAGGCTTTTCAATGAATTAAAACTCTGTCTGGGTCTTTGGTTGATTAATAAACTGGATACCTTTCAATCCCCATTCTCAGCCTGTGGACTCTAACAGTTAGTTTGCTTGGGGGTCTTGATTCTAACATAACCTTAACCAGATTTCTGTAAGGCAAAGTAAATGAATTGATGATCAGTTATTAATTCATGTACTAACAGGGACTTAGAAGAGAGATGTAATGTTTAATAATCCACATTGCACTGTTTTACTCTTTGGTGAAGCTGTGCATATTATATTATTCATCCTTTGTGGTTTTTATGTTATGTTTAAATCGGTTTTTGCTGATTTTTGGTTTGTTTTTGTTGGTTTGGAAACAAAGTTTGTGGATGTGGATGTGGTTTTGGGGGGATAACAGGAAGTTGAAGCTGAAACTCTGGATAGTCACATTTGTGTGGTTTAAGAACATTGGCCAGATTTCTAGAAATGAGCATCAGGTCCAAAGTGGGATGGTCTCTCCTAACCACACCAGGTTTTTCCCAGAAGGTTTTTCAATTATCTATAATCAATAAACATATAAAAACAAATTAGTATATACCTGATTTTTAGTTTTTAAATAGTTCAGGCGTTTCATCTCGTGTAATTTGGGTAATTCTTGAAAACAGGATAATTTTAAAAATAAATACATTTTATTTTTACAAGCTTTACTATGTAGGCTGACAGGAGTACCTGCAGACTATGTCAAGCATTTTAACTCAAAATTCCTAACCCTTGTTGTTCTTAGGTGCAGCCCCCAAACTCTCGTAGCCTCATGGAATTCCAGAAGGACCCCCGGGTGCTTTATGGATTCCAAGGTTGCCTGGACTCTGTAATGCTGAACAACAATGAGCTCCCATTGCAGAACAAACGTTCGCAGTATGCAGAGGTGGTGGGACTGACAGAGCTGAAACTGGGTTGCATTCTCTACCCTGATGCATGTCTGCAGCAGCCATGTCACAACGGAGCTACTTGTACAAGTCTACCTGCTGGTGGTGAGTCATAGAAAATAAATGAAACAGCACAGTCACCTCAGAAAACACAAGGCTGCAGAGGTCTTTCATGACATCTCAATCTTTCAATGAGTATACATTGAAAGATTAAGGTATTAGTTTCCTTACTACTCTTACCCCTGGATGCATCAACCGCTGAGTGTGTGATTGCACATATAATGAAGCACTGAATGATTGTGTGTGTGTGTGTGTGTGTGTGTGTGTGTGTGTGTGTGTGTGTGCGTGTGTGTGTGCGTGTGTGTGTGCGCTGTAGTGTAAAAGTGCTTCTCGAAGTAGTATGACTAAAAATATAAATCCCAATCCATTTCACCAAAGCTGTGTGCATTAACCATTTTTCTTAAAGCTAATCTGATAATGTTTTGATGTATAAAGTAGATAAGTCTATTTTTTTTAAAGTTCATTCGAAAGGTTATGATTCTCTGAAATGTATTGTGTATACATATTATATTTTCCACTATTTTGTGTGCATTTGCAAGGCCTGTCTGAAGTTATTAGCAGTATTACATGGCATTTGTGCATGTGTATACTCACCTAAATTCCCAAAATGTGTGTATGTGTTTCGAAACCCAGATGAAAATTAGACTGGTATAAATCATTTACACACTACAAACTACATTACACCCATTCACACACATTCATACAGGACTTTATTTTATCTACTACACTGGGAGCTTTCTGATCAATTTATTGGTCCATTTAGTGCAAGACACATTCGCAGATTCACAAACATACTTATAAAGCTGTTTTATTCTTTCTAACACACACACACACCACTCTGCCATGTATGGATTAGATGAAATAGGATTTAGTGTATTACCCCAGGACAAAAACCACAGACTTTTAGGTTAGTCTACCACCTGAGGGTAGAAGCTCCTCTTGAACCTCTCTGTTCTTGCCCGGATGGTGCAGAACCTACTGCCTGATTGCAGAAGTTGGAACATTTTATTGCTGGGGTTGAACAGGTCCTTCAATATGTGAGCTGCTCTGGACAAGCATCTCCTGGTGTATATGTCCTGTAGGGAGGGGAGAGCAGTCCTGCAGCAACGTTATGTTGTACACATCACTCTCTGAGGAGCTTTTATGTCCTTGACACAGCTGTTCCATACCAGGACGTGATGTTCTGTGTGAGGATTCTCTCCACAGTGCCTAGAAAGTCCTGAGGATCCCTGGAGAAACCCTGAACTTCCTCAGTTGTTGTAGGTGGTACAGGCGCTGCCAAGCCTTTTTGGACAAGACCTGAATGTGGGCAGACCATGTCAGATCTGAGGAGATGTGGACACCAAGGTACTTGAAGGACTGCACCCTCTCCACTGGAACTCCATTGATGATAATGGGCTTGTAGTCTCTGTTGTTGGAGTTGGCGCCCAACACCACTGTGTCATCAGCAAACGTCACAATGGTATTGGAGCCTTGAGTGGCCATAAAGTCTGAAGTGTAGAGGGAGTAGAGCAGTGGCGAGAGTACACACACTTGTGGCGCTCTTGTGTTGATGGTGATGCCGTCGGAGACGCACCTGCCCACCCTCACCACCTGAGTTCTGCCAGTGAGGAAGTCAAACACCCATGCACACAGACGGCTGTTGAGTCCTAGATCCCTCAGCTTTGTGAACAGTCTGCCGGGCACTATTGTGTTAAACGCTGAAGTGTAATCAACAAACAGCAGTCTCACATAGTTACCCTGTTTCTTGTTCATGTGGCTAAGGGTGGTGTGCAGGAAGTCAGTGCAACTGTCCGGTAGTCATTCCGGCATGAGGGCTTGTTGTTCTTGGCCACAGGGATGATGGTTGATCTCTTGAAGCATGTTGTTTTTGCTCTGCAACAAGGGTCCCTGGTCCCGTTTAGAGTGTGTTTTCTTCCCATGTTTGCATGAGTTTTCTGCATTAACTCTGCTCACTCCCACCATTTAAGTACGTACTACATCAATGTTGCGTAGCTAGGCCCAGGATGCTTTTACCAAATAGTTTTCAACCCAAGTAGTTCACTCCCCTATGAAATCAGGGTTAATAAATATTAGATATATTTATTCAGCTTTAGGTAAGAAATATTCCACTTGGTGGTATATTTTCCTTTTTGGGAGTGGGGCTATCCCCTGGGTCTGTTTTTTCTGCATATTTGTGAAGATGTGTACAAGTCACGTCTTCTATAGTACTGGATCTACCCCCCCCCCCCCCCCACACACACACACCACAAACACACACACACACACACACACACACACACACACACACACACATTCACACACACACACACACACACACTTGTCCTATTTACTTGTATAATATGTGTGTATATATAAATAAATTATGTATTATTTTAAATAATCTAAGTATATAGAGGGATTAGAGGGTTTGCAATAAAATGAAAGCCAGGAGGGGAGAGTGAGGCAGAGGACCAATATACATGACTGCAGGGCAGTCTGGGCAATAATGTGGCTCCCCACCTCCATCGAAGCCAGCCCCCAGCACCTTTAATGAGTCCTGTAGTGCTCAATCTAAAAATGATATTATTTTAGGTCAAAATTGTGTGTGTGTTTGTATAGAAGTGAGTGCTGCACATTAAAAGAAGTGATCTGTTCTTAATGAAGTCTTACACTTTGTCTGTCTCCCAGGGTTCTCATGCAGTTGTAAACCCCAGTACACTGGGGGGCACTGTGAGATGGAGATAACAGCATGTGTTCCCAACCCGTGTCATAACGGCGGTGTGTGTAAGCCCATTGGCAATGCATTTCTTTGCAGCTGCAGGAGAGGCTTCAGGGGCCTGACGTAAGTCTGAGTGAAAACACACAAACCTGGCATGCACCATTCTGAACAGTTGAGTCACTCTGTACAAATGTCATTCTTACACCCTTTAGCAATGTCTCTTCATTCAGATCCTAGTGTAGCAGAGGTCTATTGCTGCTCACTGAACAGTCACATTAACAAAATACTGAAAAAAAAAAAAGGTTGTTTACAAATGATCAAATCCAACAGTTATCAGACAAGCATAAAACATTTAGTGCATTATCTTTCATTTGGTTATTAAGTGTAACTCTGCTCACAGCGTAGAGATTAGGGTGACCACAGATTAGAAAGTGGTCACCTGGTGTCTACAATTTAGGACAATTTTGTTTTTGGAAAATTTCAAAGTTTGGAAAGTTGTTCAAATACTATATCTTTGAGAACTGATGAGTCTGTAGTTTTCAAAGCAATTTTTTTTCCTGCATAAATGTTTCCCTTTTCATATATTTTAATTATAGGTGAAATGACTCTTCTTTTTTTTTCTTTCTCTTTTTAACACATTCTTCTCTCTGATTTTATTAGAAGATAAATGACACTATAATATGTTGATGGTTACAAACATCAGAGAAAGGTATTAATGTGAGGCTACATATGGATACATACTTGTGCAGTTTTTTCTTTATTGACAGGCTTTTCACACTGGTCTCTTCCATTCTATTTCCATCCTTTTATCCTGCAGTTGTGAGGAAGATGTGAACGAATGTGACCGCAGGAATCCAGAGGGGGAGTGTGAGAATGGTGGCACCTGCATCAACACTCACGGCTCCTTCTACTGTAACTGCACGGCAGGCTTTGTGGGTCAGCGCTGTGGCCTGAGGCCTGTTGTTGTCCCCGACATGCAGGCTGGTCATGCTGTGGTTGGTAGGGAGGAGCTTATTGGCATTGCTGTCGTACTTTTTGTCATCATCACCCTCATCATCCTCTTCATTGCATTCCGCAAGAAGGTCTTCCAGAAAAACTACTCGCGGAACAATCTATCTCTGGTGCAGGACCCAGCCACTGCAGCACTCCTTAACAAGGCCAATGGTGTTCAGTTTAAGACCTTACACTGCACCTCAGGAGACCCTCTCAACCTGTACTCAGAGCCAGGTATGGAGTCTGCCATGTTGGGAGGGGGTGGGATGATGGGACCTCCACAGGTCCCTGTGAGACCCATGGCATACACGCCCTGTTTCCAAGGAGACCCACGTTCCACGCTAGAGAAGATGGCAGATGGACGCAGTGTGGAACATACAGAGATGAGTACCTTTCACCCTGAGTCACCAAGGATCCTTTCAGGAACCACTAGGAGAGGGGTGGTGGTGTGCAGCGTGGCCCCCAACCTTCCACCAGTCTCACCATGTCGCTCAGACTGTGACTCCATATGCAAGAGCCCATGGGATAATGATGAGTGTGAGTGAATTTTATACAATTTGTCTCCTAGTTAGAATAAGTCACTCTTGGTTTACTGAGGCATTGCAGTGTTTACTATGCAGGTTTATTCATGAATTATAGAAGCTTTGTACTAACATTAAATTGTATTTTGCTGCTCAGTCAACAATCCCAGATGTTTGTTTTTTTTAATGCAGGCTGTAGGACAGGTACACTATCAGTTACAACTGGAGCCACTGAAGGCACTACCTAAATATGATGTCTTGATAAATGTTTTTGCATAACATACACAGAGTTGTGCTTGCTTTACAATCTTCCCTTACCCCCTGACTTTTTCCTACAGGTAAGGTGGGCGACATGGCAGAAGAAGTAACATGTTTCTCAGGAAGCAACAAAGGCAGTAACTCAGAGGTCCAGTCACTGAGCTCCTTTCAGTCTGATTCTTGTGATGACAATGGTAAGACACACCCATTAGAAAAGTGCTTCATGATTCTTTGAATACTCTAGTTTGCTTTTGTTTAACTTTTGGTTGCAACAGGAGTTGCTTTCTTCTTTTTATTCGTTTTGCTCACCATTATCCATGCAAAACCAGCCCGTCACATTTGGGTTTCACCTGTGGGACAAAATGCTTTTGAAATATTTGTGAATATTCTTATACGAAACAAATAAAACCAATAATAATCAGATAAAAATACCGAAAGACACTGTCAGCGTGGGTAGCAGTGGATAGAGAGGGCAATGATGGGTATATGTCAGAGTACAAGTGAGGAGATGAGAGGAGAATGGAAAAAAAAAAAAGGATAATATTTTGTCACTGAAACTTAAACCGTCATCTGCATTGTCCCATAAAATGAAAATGTAATATGTCTTTTTTTATATGGCTGTTCATTGTTTCTTTCAAATGAGAATGTTTCCAAGTATACAGAATTTTAAATGGGAGGCAACATCGTATGGTGACCCGCTGCTGAGTGTAGGAATTCGTGGGATAGATATTCCAAGATATAAAAAGTGGTGAGACAGATCATTCACAGACAAGCTAAGGCGTTTTGGTGGCTTTCCAAACTTTTATTGGTAGTTGTGGCTTTTGTGAAGGAGTTGTGTATTTTGCTTTTGTGTTGTTGTTTTTTTTTGTTTGTTTTTTTACAGACAGATTCCTCTGAGTAAATTTTTAATTTTACTTCACAGAATGGTAATTCTTCAGAAATGCTAGTTACATTGTTTAAAATCATCAGTTAATTAACTGGAATTTTTTTCCCCAGTTGTACAAATTATTTTGCCATTTTCTTTCCTGTGCTTGCCAAAGACAGGTGTTAACACACCTGCTCTTTATCTGGCAAAACTGGCAAGAAGCAGAAGAATGTTAGTTTTATAATGTCTTGTTCCCACATGACTTTCTTTGCTTTTATAAATTTTCTTTGTCTGGCAGTGTGTCTTTTTCTTCCCAACATTAAAACAGCAGGTAATCAGGTGAGGTAGTCCTCTGCAGAGATCAGAGAAAGTAGTGGGCAGCCATAATTAATTACTCGGTCATGAGGACACACTTGACCGACAACAGGATGAGCATTTTCAAATCTGAATGCCTATATTTCAGATATATGTTATATATCTGCTCCTTTTCTCTCTCTGCAAGCCTCCATAGTGACCGTCATTCGACTGGTAAATGATGCAGTCGACACAATCGAAAGTGAAGGTACCATGTCTTATCAACTTTGTGTCTCTCCTCTCACTCTCGCATTCTTTGCTAATTTCAATCTTGTAAGTGACGTATTTCACTAAAAGAGGTGTCTTAAGCTATAAGTTGAATCCCCTCTTGCTATGTGGAGCATACTTTATCTTTCATTAACAGACACTCCTACCTACTGTAATTAGATCAGTTTATTGAGTTTATTGTGACTTATTAAGCTGAAGGTTGTCAGGGTTTCATTCCAACTGCTCAGCAGTAGATGACTGCACTAATGGGATACTAGTCCCTACTGCACTATTTTATAGCAAGTTAATCAGGATAGAATTAAATTCCTGCATATAGCTGCCCTTAAATGGCACAGTGCTGGCCATTAACTTTTGTGTCTTGTTGTTTTCTGCATCTGACAGTGTCAGATATGGACCAAGGTCAAACCTTCAATAGAGGTGACTTCCAGCCCACCGACCCCCACCTTTCTTTTACCACACCCTGTCTCTTCATCTTTTCATTTATCTACCTGCAGCAAGTAGACAAAATAAAATGTTCTCAATAAAATCAGCTTAAATAGCATTGTATCAAAACTGGCATGGTATGGGTCATATTAGAATACATGCAATTTACCAGCATATCAGCAAATATATGAACGATATAAGTCTTGCATTAACACAAATCTTGTGGGAGTGGTCAGTTTTGACATTGCCACAGGGAGGAGCGGCCAGCTAAAGGTAGACAGTGGGTCCTAAGATTGTTGGCAAGATGGAGAGTGATGTTGATAATAAAATTAACGCTGGATATTTTGAAACTAACAAAAAGAGTGGATAATCAGATATATGGAAGAGTTTTAAAATTGCTTAAAAGAAAAACAGGCACAAATCTAGCACTTCCTGTGCCAGAGACAAAACAGCAGTATTCTAGTACACAATGAATCAAGCAAGAGACACAGACAGTCTAAGTAAGAATGATGTGGCAGTTTGTAGTTTGTGGCTCAACTACAGGGGGCTGGTGGAGGAGTGGGTTTAGAATGTGGTGTCAGGGGAGGCTGACCAACACAGCTGATCTCCATCGTCATGCTTCCCCTATTTGAGTAGGATGCTGGGACCACACGAGAAAGCTGTGTGGTGTGTGCTAAAGTAACAGCACCTGCTATTTGGAACCCAACTAACAGGTGTACATTGCAAGTACACCTTGCCATGCATTCTGGGATGCGGTAGGTCGCCATAGATGTGCGAAGTTCAGTATGGGCTAGCAGCTACCTGTGAAGTGAAGATAAATGTTTCCAAAAGTGTGAAATACAGCACCTTCTTTCTGTACTTTGATTGTTCCTGCCCTCAGATACATCTGGCTGCCTAAATGTTCGCACATGATTTGTATTATTGCAGTATTGTGATATTTGCACACTTGTTTCATAGATTGGGTTTTTAACTAATTTGTGGCTTCAGTTTATATCTGTATTTGTGATTCAAAACTGAGATATTTATATTTATTTATTGTGTTCTTGTTCTACTAAAAGAAGTTCAGTGGTATATCAATAAATTAATTGGTGTGGGGGGGAGTTCAGGATAAAAGCAGCTGGAGTAGGCAGTAATGGTCAGAAATTTAACTGGAGTGATATTTAAAACAAATTAAATACTTCAGTGCAGGTTTTTTTTATATATGGGTGGGAATTTAACACGTTAATTGCGATTAATTAATTTGAAAAAAATAAAATGTTAAAAAAATAATGCATTTAATCGCACTTTGCATTCCAAGCAAAGGGGGGCTTTTGTCAATTTCCTGGTATACCGATTACACTGATGCACACATCAGAGCTACAAAAATGGAAGAATCAGAAGAAAGTGCGTTGGTAGGACTGGTCAGAGGCACATTTCTTTTCAAAAGACTACCCGAGGGAAGCCTTGATAAAGCATGTTTTTGTGCAAACTGTGCAAAAAGGAGTTTGCATACCACTGAAGCACTTACAGCGAGCGCAGAAACTGTCAGAACTGTTAGCACTAGGAGTCCCAGTTCGAGTACCAACAAACTTGATGAAATGACTGGCTTCAGGACTAAAATTAGTAAGTCAACATCGGACAAACTTACAAATTCTCTTGCAAAATGGATTGCTCTGGACTGTTCCTGGCCCAGTGCATCATTGCCTACCTGATGTTTTTGTTCCAAGGTCGTTGGACTCCTCTCGTTTGTTTTCGTCAGGCACGATACTCATGCACCTCCATTGCGTCCATGGGCTCCACTCACAGCCAGTGTTCAGTTGTGTTGTGATGAAGGATAAACCAGGAGTGAGAATCGAGAGCTCTTGTGTCGTCTTTGCCTCCACAGTCTCACTGGGCTAACCAGGTAGACACAGGGCCCATGGCAATATTACTCTGTTTGTGCTGCGGGACCAGATCCTTGGGGTGGACCAATTTTTCTCTCACTGAAAATGCTATGTCAAGATGAACAGAATCAATTTTGGGGGGATTGTCTTAGCTGGATGATTTAGCATGCATCAATTAGATTTTGGATTGATTCTATTTCTTGCATTTTGGAAAATGAAGTTTCACACGCTATTAATGCTCTTATTTTTATTTATCTATTTACTGCATAACAACATAGATTTTGATGATTGGATTTGTCATAAAAATGCTTTGTGGCAGGCAGAGCAGGGCCCAAATGCAGGACTTTGAAGACAGGGAATGAACATAAAATTAGCTTTATTGCTTTATTTCTTTGTGTGACAATAACTAGAACTAATATGGTCAGAGTGATATAAAGATGAAGCAAGATTAATTTCTTAGCTTGCTAACTAATTAACCCTGTAATGGCTGTGACGGGCTGTTCTGTGTTTTACCCTCCAAAAGTTGGACGTACTATAGTGACGTCGCCCGTTGGTTTCTGAAGTTCAGTTTGAATCCTGTAAAAGTGTTTCCACCATTGCCCTTGTTGTGGAAATTTTAACAATAACCTGCAACACACCCAGTGAGCTTCATTTGAAGCAGGTTTAATAAACACATTGCAATGTGGAGAGAGCATCCCAGTGAAACACTAGGATCATCTTTGAATTGTGGCCACCGCCCTTACATCTTATATACAGACACAGACAAAGAACGCAAACTCTTATATGTTGGCCCCTCTCAGGGGGGCTATACCTTCTCCCTCACAGAGAGAATTATGACCTTGTTTTCTGCTTGGCCATCGCCTAAGGATTTACATCCCTGATAAGGAGAAGGAGTCCCGCTATCTGTTTAACGTCTCCCATTACAATGGCCTCACTGTGTTAACATTCCACATGCATGCAAACTGGTGACAGGAGTGCTCTTACTATAGTAAAGTGAGAAAGTGATATTACTAAACTAATGTGATATGATTAAATATGTGATTAATACATGAGAAAAGAAATCTGCCTCCACACCGTCTTGGTAAGAAGGGATGAGTCTGACTGTAAAACTGGTTGCTCACTGGCTAAGACGCTATCACTGCAAGGTTGTTAGCCAATGAGTCAGAAAGGATGTACATGAATAGTCATCTTGTTTGAATCATGGCATGACCAAGATTTACAAAATAGATTTAAGTTTTTGTTTTTGAATTTATGCAGAATGAATTTTTTGTGTGAGTGGTCATTGAACACATTCTCCTCTGAATTAGTAATATTTACTTAAGACTGTCTTTTGGCAGTACTCTGCGATACTCCAACTTTTTTTCTTGATCAATACCTAGTAACGTTTCTCTGTTGGTAAAGTACCAACTGAGTTTGAATACTTTTAACTTATAAAGGCAGCAAATGTGGGGGAGAGCAGTGTGTCTGATGAATCACCATGAATTTAAAAATTCTGAACACATTTTAATGACCACTAAATCCCTGGAATTTCTATTTTCCACAACAACTGATGAACACAGCAAAACCCACCTTTCAGCCTTTTGTCTATATTAAAACTGGGTTTTTTGGAAACCTAGTTTTTATATGTATGTAAATGTGTCTGTCTCAAAAGCATTTGGGTTAGCCTCTGTTTTTTTAAATATGCTGTAGGCTATAAATAAAATACATGCAACAGTCAACACAAAAAGATTCAGACATTTTTCATAGTGCATATTTGAGGTGTATTTTTTCATTTACAACAAATATTTTTTTACACAATTAAGTGAGCTACATACTCATACAGGATACACCTTTGCAGTCTTCTCTCTCCTCTGTCTTCCAGATACATTTTATTATTTCTAAAAGGTGGACTGAGATTGATTTCCAGGTCACAGGAGGAGTATGGAAGACAGAAGAGATGAGAATGCACAAAAACAACAGTAGTGAGAAAAAACGGTTTCCTTTTGTTTTTATCTGATTGTCAGTTTGCATATTCCTTTTGTTGTTTCACCTTTTTGAATTCTGGAATTCTTTTAATTTTTGGATCAGCCAATAAAACATTTTTTATCGTTCACTTTGCCTGCCTCAGCACTTCTCCATTTGGGAATAACAAGAATAACACTTCTCTCCAGTGTTATGCTTGACTGCCCTTTTCGAAACAGTTTCCAGTGACAACTTTATATACCATCAGCACATTTGTGGAGGAACATTGACATAAAAGAAGCTTTCCCAATAGTTATTTTTATGGTGTATCTATCAGGTGTATAGTCAGGGACAGACCTCATAAATGGTCTGCATTAAAATTAAAAATGAAATCAGAAACAAATGGTTCTTACTGAAATTATTTTGTCTACCTGCTGTATCTTTGTACCCCTATAGCCCTATAGTTTGTCAGTGGTAAATTCCTCATCTCCTTCTCTGGTCAAAGCTTTGTATAGATAAGTTATTCCACAGCTTGTCTTGTGCTGCGCTAAATAGGCCACGGTGGTGACCACTCTACTTTCCACCCTACTGTGCCAGTTCTTGTGTTATTAAGTTTTCCCATTAAGTTTTGTTTGTATTCTGTTTTTATGCATGGAAATCTTTTTTTGTGTTTCACTGGCATTTTTAAACTCATTTTAAATGAAATCTGAATTCAGTTTTCAGAGTCATTAGTCAATTATTCGTTCAGTAAGCCAAACTTAAGTGATAAGAATGAATATTTATGCTATGCCAGAGGACTACAGATACCATGGGAAAGCGTATTCAAGACGATGTATTGAAGTGAGACAGGAAGTTTCTCTTAATCCAAAGAAATTCCATTCCATTAAAACAATTAACCAGTCTAGGTAAGTATATGTCTTGCTGTGATTTCAGGTATGAAAGCTGACCTTAAGATCAAACAATCCACTGGACATACATAGTAAATGGAAGTGTATGCCATGGAAATTGTGACAGTGGTTGGACAAGCAAATATTTAGTCCTTTTTGAAACACCGTAACATAATTTAAATTTGTTTTTATTTTAAGAGCCAGTTCACACAAAGCCTACATTATAGAAAAACCCAGTGATCTCCAGTGGACAAGACAGCTATTTGACCAGTTCTGACCTTTCTGACCTTGCCACTGACTGACAGGAAAGCAAAGAACAAGCACAGAGAAAGAATAGAAACAACATAATAATAAGCATGTGGTAGATTGGTGGGGCAAGTAAATGCTTATTAGAAACGTGCAGCTTAAGAGCTGGAATAGGGCTTAATACTTTTGGGAAGAGAGAGCACCAGGTTAATGACATACTGTAGTGGCAAATAATCTTTTTTTAGTAATTTATTCTACAAATCTGCCCCATAAATCATAATTAGAGCTACTTGTCTACTAACTAATAGTTTGATTCAGCTCAATCTTCAGCTCCTCCATGTAAACGTTTCCTTGGGCAAGATACCGAACCCCAATTCCATCCATCAGAATGTGTGTATGTTTGCGTTTGTCCAAATGTGTACTGAAAATCCCCCAAACTAAAACGATTTCCATGGAATATACTTAGTCTCATTATAGATGGATAGAGAGAGAGAAGGAGATTTTTAAATGACTTCCTTGCAGATCATTTACAAGATATTTTATAATGCTCTAACTGAACTGAATGGATTTCTACTGTTTTGTTTTTGTTATTATTGTTTGTTTTGTCATTTTATTTATTTCTTTGGGGGAAGGACTGCATGGCTTGTATGCTGCCAATTCTTCAAGAAGTTGAGCATGCTGTCACATTTGTAACACCAATCTGCAAAGTGCATGCCACACCTAACAGGTTTTTTGTATAGACTATGTCTTGTCCTATTCCTGAATTTCAACACTTCCATGTAGTGTTGATGTTACCACGCCCATCTGGGGCTTACTGAAGGCATGTTTCCATGCTCCAATTCCACATTGGAGTGTTTGCTCTTAAATGAATTTTTATCATTTTTACAGTTCAGATTATTGCTAACCATTTCCCCTTCTACCGTCTAGCATATCACTGGGATACATCAGACTGGATGCCAAGCCCGAGGCTCTCAGACATTGAAGAGGTGCCAGGCTACGAGGCAAGTCATGGAAACGAAGTAGCAGGCTCGACCCCTTGCCTTAGCGAAAGTACTCGAGAACTGGAGTCAGATTACTATCTAGGGGGCTATGACATCGACAGTGACTATCTCCCTCCCCACGAAGAAGAGTTCCTTAATCAAGACCAACTGCCACCTCCACTACCCACAGGTGAGGATTATACTGAGCCCTATGCACCATTTTCTACCAATACACCACTTTCCAAGGAGAGCACACTGAGCACAAGGCATCAGCATGCCAGACCATATTTCCACCCTAGCCAGTACCTACCTCCCCATCAAATACCCACTGGGGAGGTGCCAAATGAAGTTTTTAGCTCTTCAGTGAGTGGGCGAACACCAGGAAATGGGGACACTGATGACTCTGTGTCCCGAAGTATCCGACTGTCCGTTGGTGCATCATCAGCCTCAGACATGTCAACCCCCTGTGGGCTGGATGACTCTGAACATGGCAGTGACTTTGACAGTATGGATGAGCTTCATCGAGGGGTGACCATCATCACGGACTCACAGCAACAGACTGAGGTGTGATTAGCTATACAGCACAAGAGTACCAACCAGTGGGAGCATAGCAGTTGTGCAGATAGAAGATGCAAAGGATTCTGTTATGACTGGGCAAGGTAAACTTCTTCAGCAGTACTAGGTACTGCTACAACTATATACATTAACAGTAATTTAAAAAAAAAAAAATCACCATTTCACCTCACTGAACTGTGACCAACAGAATAACAATATTAACTGGATTGTCAGTTCTAACCCCACTGTGTAGACCAGTTAGGAATGATTTTCCTACTGTAATAGGAATTACTTGGAATATGAAAAGAATGGGATAGAGAATGTGAACATGAAAGAATGATTATGGACGTGGTAGACAGATTTAAAACAAACAAAACTAAAGGGACAATGATTTAAGTGACACATTTGTATGTTTTTTTTGGTCCTTCGCAGAAGCCCATCGGACAATTTTTTTTCTATTTAAAACAATAAAATAAAATTTAAAAAATGTAAATTTTCCTCCATGCTTTGTAAACTTTGTAGTGTGCTGAACTGTACAGACTGTAAAGTATTTTGACCTCACTGGTGAAAAGTATGAAAACATACTTTAAAAGCCATTTTTGTTTCAATGTAAAATGTGCCCATCCACACCTCACCTGTATGCTCCCTGCTCCAAATCTTTAAAAGACAATTACATTTCAAACTTTCTCTTTCCTTAGCTTGAAAATTAAATTTTTCATGATTTTTTTTAAAAATTCTGTTGTGTGGATGCCAAAAGCTGCTGTAGTTGTTAATGTATGATAAAATCTATTATAATAAATTGTACTAAAAATTGATATTGAAATGTTATGCATACATAAGATAAAGAATTTATGTTCAATTTTTAAATAGAATGGGTATCCTGGGATTGATATTTAATTTTCACCCAGTATTGTTTTATTATAAGGATAACATGCTTACCACCTTCACTGACTATTGTGCTCTGTTCATAGTTATGGTCATCTTGTGTTTTATAATTTCATTAGTTTTATACACATTTATATAACCTCTGCCTTCGGTTCCCTCAAGTACTTTCAGGTCAGTTCAATTTTGAGGTACTCATACATTTAATTGAGAATGGAGGAGAATATGTTCCTACATCTTTAGAACTGGTTTGGATCAAAGGTGCTGAGAAAAAATATTCCACGCACCTCTGCTTTCTTTAATTTTGTGTGAAACACATTCTAAATTCTATCCTCATGCTAAGATGTACATTCAGATTAAATATAAAATAAAACAAATGCAACCTGAGTAAACACAAAATATTAACTTTTGACTTTTAACCTCATCAAATATCTTAAAGAAATTAAATTTTGCACAATTATTTTTTTCGTTGTTTTTTTTTTTTTTTTTTTAAACTGTGAACATATCTTGATGATATCTTATGGGGTTTTTTTTGTTGTTGTTTGTTTAGGTTTTTTTGTACAACTATTTTGGGGCCGCAATGTTAATGGTATAGGCAAAAATTGGTCTTTGTTATGAAAATAGTTCTCACATCCATAATGTGTCCTACAAATCCTTTAATATTTTACCAGGATGCCCTCGTGTGTGGAGGATTAGTCGTCTTCTACATTTGAAGTGTAGCTACAGTCTAGTCTCTGAGTCTGTATCTGGGCCATCCCAGTGCATTTTATAATGCTTCTCAGACAAATAAATTTTCTTACTCATCTCTTTTAGAATCCCAAGTCTGGTTCTGATGAAACCCTGTGTTTCTGAAAGTGGTCTGTGTAGGTGATTGAACATAGGTGGCAGTAATTGGTTATGAATGTGTCTACTTCTACAGCATCCAATCAATGCAAATACAAAAAAGCAATCAGTGTTTTTTAGTCATAACTGAAGGCTAAATACTGCTTCACATAGGGTCAATTGGTAGGTTTTACATTACATAATTGCTGCCGCACATACAAATGTCATTCCAGTTTACTTGTCTTACTCAGGTTTTCTTGCTAGAATTTTTTCAAGATGTAGCACAACAGAACCAAGCAACCAAAACAGAACCAAGAAGGGAGTCAAGACTATCATGCAACACTAGTTTGATTCATTCACTATAAAGGTAGGTCACATTAGTTGAATGCTTACTTTTCTACTCAACCTGAGGGCTTTATACAGCATTACTCATTCACCCATTCATACAAGCATCTTCTTTCTATGCTTTTTCTACTTTTTCTGTCTAACATCCACATGTATTCATGCTCTGATGGATGCATTCAAGAGCAATTTGGGGTTATTAAAATAAAAATGGAGTGGTGAACCTTCCAACAAGTTGCCAGCCTACCAAAATCGGTCCAAGTTTTCTCCATTTGTTGATAATGAATCTCACTGTTATTCCCTTTTAACCCTTTACAGACTGATGCCAATGCCTTTGTTTTTCATCTTTCTAGAGCTTCTTTCTGGCATGATGTTTTGCTTCATGATACCATTTATCATACTTCACTTTATCAGACACATTCTATTTAAGTGACTTCTTGATTCAAGAGGTCTGGCAGTGGGGTGGCTGTAGCTCAGGTGGTAGAGCAGGTCATCTACTGGTCGGAAGGTTGGTGGTTTGATTCCTGGCTTCCCCTGCATGCCAAATATCTTTGGGCAAGATACTAACCCCAAATTGCTCTCCGATGCGTCCATCGGCGTATGAATGTGTGTGAATGTTAGCTATAAAGCACTTGGAAAAATGTGCTGGTGTTAATGGGTGAATGCACAAGTTGTGTAAAGTGCTTTGAGTGCTCAGATGAGTAGAAAAGCGCTATATAAGAACCAGTCCATTTACCATTTAATCAGGCTTTGCCGTGGCTAGTGAAACTGAACTCAGCTTTCCAATTCATATGGTTTGTCAAAGTTAATAAATGGTTCAAAAAGGAGTAATTACTTTTTCACACAGGGCTGTCCCAGTTTGGATATTGTTTTCTCTCAAAGTCATCATTTAAAAATTACATTTTGTATTTACTCAGGTTATCTTTGTCTAAATTTAAAATTTAGTGGCTGGGATTGACTCCAGCCCCACTGGAACCCTGATACGGAAGAGCACAGATGGATGGATGGATGGATGGAAGGATCTTAAACATGTAAATGTGACAAATATGCAAAAAAAAATCAGAAGGGAAAAAATACTTTTTCGCAACACTTTTTGAGCACACCTATTTTCCTATTTTGCTGTTCAGAGATTTCACAGGATTCCTCAAAGTTCAACAGGTGCCTGTCTCTGCAAGAACCATTCAGCTCAGCAGTCTCACAGACCCACTTGAAAATGGTCACCATTGTCCCATTTAAAGTGTATATGACATCCCATGTAAAGTTTCACACAAGATTCCCTAAGCTCCCTAAGCTTCCCGAGTTGTTTTGCACTGAATGGAACTCGAGCCTCGTCATCTCGTCTCTCTATATACTGAACTGTATATAGCAGAGATGACAATAAAGTTTACTTTGACCATCTTTTTCTCTTATTTAACAAACACTGGTCAATCTGCGATCCTTCTGACGATATATGTCAAATTTAACCCATAAATTCAATGTAGAATGGTTTGCAAAGTATATATAATAAAACAAAGTATGAATGTATGTTTAAAAGTGGCTTATTCACTAAAGCCTTAGTCAGTAAGGCTAAAAAAGTGCCATATAAATGTCAGTCTATTAGTAGTACTTCCAACATTCTTGAAAAATAATGGCAGATTATTATATAGTAAAAATTAGTCTTGCATTTGCCTGTATAATAGTTTCGAAATAGTTTCTAAATGCAGTGCCATATGCTGAAGTTTTACTATAATAAAAGACATAACCTGTCCTGTTAAAACCTTTAAAAAATTGAGCTGAACAATGCAACTGGCATTATACTGTGAGTCTGAATTTTATTCCCACCTTCATCTGTTTTTTTCTTCATTCTGTTTAATTTGTTTTGAGAGTACCTATATACCAGCTTCAGGGAGTAGACATGTTTTAAGGCATTGCAACTGTTATTTTGTAGCACCTTCACCATATCTAAAGAGACAAGTTAGATCCTTATCCAGGTTTACTATATCCTCAAAAATATTTGGCTGCTTCATTTCACCAGTGTACTGTACTATTGTGTGTCTGATCCTGTAAACCAGGCAGCCCCTTTCCTTTGTAAAAGATGCAAATGTGTTTTGAAATTTGTACAGTGTACAGAGCTAGACAAAATTCTGCCTAGATGAACTGCATTTGTGTTTATCATGTGCTATTTGGATGGATGTGGAGAGTTTAAAATTTCAGTTAACTCCATTCCACATCTGCGTGGTCAGTGCTATTTTTACTCTTTAACCACTACCTTTAAGATCCACATGAATGCAAAATCAAATTTAATAGGTTTTGGACAGTATTCTGTTTATTCCATTCCAACATATGTTCTTGCTTTTGATAAAAGATGTTTATGGTAATGCACTTTTTGTACATTTTAATTAAATTCTGATATTGTTTTCAGGTTGTCTGGTGGTGGTAGTGGGGTGGGGGTTCCCCCCAAAACAGGCACTTAAAAATCTGCCACCAATCTACAGAAATTATGTACAATAAGTAAAAGAAGTGTATTTTTAAAGAGTCTTTTTAAAACTCAGTTCAGAAAATACAATATTATTTTGCACCATTTCAGCTGTCCTCAATGCTAAAATAAATCCTTACAACACTGTTTACACTTTATCATGTTAAGTACACACAACTAGCATATGCTACTACTTCATAAAGTATCATTCATGTCCTGCTGTTATCCAGAAAGCTTAATGGTAGCCTATATAATGATACAATGATCTTCAATAGTATATTTAATAATAATAATCCTTATAATTAACATAATTATATATTATAATTATGATAATCATAAGTATGAACTTCAGGAGAATGACAAAATTCATGGTAAAATTATTGAGAATGGCATGAAATTATGTACCTCAATCTCACAATGCTGATGCTCATGAAGGATATGGTACCACAGTGCGTTCCAACACTGCTTTGATGCAGACAAAGGGGTTTTTTAGGTAATACACAAAAGTTGAAACACCTGTAGGAATTAGTAGCACCAGCTTTCAAGGCGTGATCAACCCCCATTGCTCCAGAACAGCTTTAAATTGTTAACCCATTTTGTGTTCCTTTAAGAAGGCCTTCTTGGAAAAATCTTGAAATGTACATTATATGAAAGTTTTGAGTAACCTTACCTTTCTTCTCTTTTTTTTTTAAACCTCTGGCAGTTCACCACTGCAATAAATAACTTGTAGAAAGGTGTCAGTGAGTAGAGTTTCCTTCACTATCAAAAGGGCCTCAGAAACTGGGGCAAACTCTGAGAAACTTGTCCTGTCATTCAATTGTGGCTTTGGGTCTGCCAGAGTCTGTCTGTCAGAGTTAACAGCTTGTATGATGGGCTCCCCACATAACAACAGCATCAAGCACAGCTTAACAACGGTTGCAGTTTCAAGTCTCAGTTTCAAGTTTGAAGAGAAGACTTTAAGCTGCAGGTTTGACAGGATGAGTTACAGCATGAAAGCCACTGCAAAGTCATCAGAATAAGACAAAGAGGCTTGCCTGGGTTCAGGGTCGGACGCACCCTGAACCAAAACAGCTACCACAGCGCCATTCAATATTCTCTGGTATGTAGGGGTCCATCCTACAGCAAGATAATGACCCAAAATATAAGTCCAACCTATGCCAGAACTACCTCAGGAAAAAAGAACAAGATGGTAAGCTTGAAAACATGGAGTGACCAGCACAGTCTCCAGACTTAAACCCCATCAAGCTGGTTTTGGAACAGGACAGAAAAGGGAAAGCAAAGCAAGTGCAAAACTTACAGATAGGGGAAGAACTTTCTGAAGAATATTTGATTTTTGTTATAGAAAGAATGCCACAGGTTCAGCTGTTATATCTTCCAAAGGTGGCTACTTTAAAATGAAAGGATAGTACAGATAAGTTCCTGGAGTTGAGAAATCATGGAATCATGAATTTATAGACCAAAATGTATTCTAAACTTTTGACTCATCACAATGCAATGAGACATTAAACTACATAATTTTCAATAAAAAACTGGAAGAACTGGGTGTTCTAAAACTTTTGACCGATAGTGTATATTTAATATACAGTCCCAATCAAAAGTTTAAGACCACTTGATAAATGGCAAAAAAAAAGAACCAAAAAACCCCAAACATATTTGGCATGGTTGGATCTTAACAAGGTTTCAAGTAGAGCTTCAACATGCAAAAAGAAGAAATGGGAGTGAGACAAAACATTTTTTGAGCATGCAATTTATTAAAAACAATACTTCAACTGAAACAGGCTGTTGATCGCAAATGCAAAAAAGGCTTTCCCTTTTTTAAACATGGTCGGATTGTTAAACTCCATAAGCAGGGTCTCTTGCAGCGCACAATTCTCCACCATGAAAAAATACGGTGTCTCATTAATGGATGCCTGTATGAAAATGGGCTGAACCTGGAATCAAAGTCAAAGTCAAAGTCAACTTTATTGTCAATTCTGCCACATGTACAGGACATACAGAGAATAGAAACTTCGTTACTCTCAATCCCTAGATAAAATAGAAAATGAACATTTAAATATAAGAGTGATTAAAAATGCAAGTAAAATATTTTAAAGTAAAAAAAAAATTAAATAATATAATACAATTTTACATATGACAAGAAAGCTATACAATATACAATATAAGGGTAAATGACATTGAGTGCAAACCAGGCAGAGTAGTGCAAATAGGCAAATAGTGCAAATGGAGATTTGGTAATATACGGTATGAGATAGTGTAACACGCTTCCTCTTTAATAATTACCATAGATCATTTGCAGAGAATTTTTCTTAGTGCTTTCTTCCCCCTATACTCTATGTGTTTCTGTCTAACATTTACAAGAATTTACAAGTAGTCTTGAGCAGACCAGACAGGGATTAAACCACCAACCTTCCGCTGAGTAGGTGCCCTCTTCTACCACTGGAGATACAGCCACCCCCAGAATGTGAATGCTACTGATTACTACCGAATGTGTGCTGGTATCTAGGCTGCCTTGATATCCCAGGTTCTGTACAAGGCGATGGTTAATGAAACTGTACTTATAAGAACAGCATTATTAAATGAACGGATTATTCTTATACCTCTGAGCCAGGGTAAAGGCCTGTGGTAGACTAGCAGTTAAGCATGCAGGAAAACATCCAGGTGAGGGATTACCAATCTTCCTTATTGCACTTGCATATACGCTTTCATCTTTGGGATATGTTTGACAGATTAAAGACCAAAAAGTCATTTTTAACAGCTTAAACACAGGCAGACAATCACTCTTGGCACCACACCAGAACCCTCAAATGATTATACTGGAGGTACTGTAACTCAGACAGCATTGGTAGTTTCCATAAAAAGGTCCTTGATTGATTTACTTTAGAAAGAGGACACTGTGCTACCTGTCAAAGATCCTGTATTTTTTGTTAAGAGAAGAGGATTCACTCTGGGTCTCCCATGGCAAATTGGTCCTGGGTGAGGGAAAAGACAACGAGCAATTCAGGAGACCCCTGTGGGTGAAAAATCTAGGAAACAGTTCACCCTCCCCGGGATAGGGTTACCGGGGCTCACTCTGGAGCCAGGCTTGGGGAAGGTGCCTGTGCCTATGTGCCAAATGACAGTTTAGAGTACCTTACCTTCATGGAGTTCCCAGGTGGGGTGCTTCAACACTAATGTGGGCAATGACAGTGAGACCTGCAGGGGTGTGATTGGAAGCAACAGCTAAATTGGATCTCTGTTAACACCATGTTCAAAACACACACACACACACACACAGATTAATACATTTCATATATGTATATTTTATTCTTTATATAATTTGATATTTTAATGCCATGTGCTTTTCTTTTTTTTTATGTTGTGACACATTGATCCTGGAAGAACATTACTTTATTTCAAGGTGTATTACTGTGGCTCAAATGACACTAAAAAGCAACTTGACTTGAACTAGCATGTTCAAGTCAAGTTCAAGTTCCGTTGCTATCTTCACCAATTAAAACAACACAGGATATCAAAAACAGTCCAAAATTCAACCCACTGCCATGTACTTCAAAGATATGTTTTAAATGAGCAAACAAGCAAGAAAACAAACAATTAATCAAAAACATTTTACTCTTGACTGTGTCTTCTAACATCCAGGAGCTAACAATATTGGGCTTGGTTAGCCTCTTATATTCATAAGAATGAATAATCACCAAAGTGATATGATATTTCGGCTTTCATATTTTCAACTTAACCACTGGTGTGGCTACTAAAAAAAGAGAAAAGAAAAAAAAAATCAAAAAACTTTTTTAATACCCAACACATACTTCTCAAGCATATCACATATCCTGTGATTATTAGTCACAGGTATTACTCGTGGTATTCTTGTTTTATTGTTAGCTTGTGTTTTTGTTAACAGAGAACTTGTGGAGGCCCATTGGTTTTTGAGACCTGACTTTACTTCTTAAGGTCAGGCTGCTCAGGTCTTCCCATTTCTGATGCTTTGCCATCATAGCAATTTTCTTTAGGTGATTATTTAACAGTCTTAGTTGCCTGTTTATGCTTAGCAGCTTCCTTTGGGAACTGCTTGGTGTACAGACGATGTGTGTACTGCAGTTCTGGTAAGATAAATCTCTGACATTTTGTTTTGGTTTGTATATCTAAGTTTGGGTTTAGGTTATAGCCCTGAATGACAGCTGTTCCATACTGAAAAGGCTTCAGCCTAGCATCCTTTACCAGTGATGGGTCAACCGCACATCTATCTTTCAGGCAAGTGTTTGCAAGCTTGACTTGTAGCTTTCTCAGCTGAGCTACTTCCCTCTCCATCTTCTGTCGTCCAACAAGACTATCAACTTTGTGCCAGAAGGTTGTGTTGAAGTGCAGGTAAATCCTCCAGTCTAAAGCATTCCACTTCTTGATTTTTTCTGCAGTGTTCGGTGAAAGTGAATGCCGAGTTTGTTCACTGCGACTATTGAGTCGAAAGGAAACCATATCTTCCAAGGACCAGCAGAGGGAGTACTTGAGCAAGACCATGGACTCATCAAAGTATTCAGAAATTAGTATAAGATTAAAGTCCTGTTCTATGGTTTTAATAGCCACAGTGGTTCTCTCCTCAAAGTCTCCAGCACCAGCTGCAATATTATTCTTAAAGCCAAAGTCAAAAGCCAGAATATTGTGAGCGTAGTGGTTGTTGGCTGCCGATGCATTATAGTTTCTCCAGCTGTTGTCTAAGAAGTCCTCCAGGCTAAATGTCTTACGGAAGGCTGGGATGCTCTTATAATAACTAAAGATGGATTCCATCATAGCCACAGGATGTCTCAAGATGGAAAAGTAAAAGGTATCCTGAGGCATCACTTTTGCCACCTGGGAAATACATAGTAAATTATACAGTCAGACACCTGTTGTTCTGAAGACCAGTAGTGTTATCACTATATTATCCATGTGCTATATATGTTTATTCTTGTCAACCTTAGCAAGTCATAAAAATAGATTAAAAAAAACAAATTCAGATGAATTTCAAAATATGTCACATTATTTCAATAACAAAATGCAGTGTGTGAAAAAATAATACGTCTTTACTGCTTTCTTTTGAATTTAGAGGGTAAGTTTCAGCCAGGTGCTGCTAATCAAAAGCACTGATTAAATGATCATTAACAAATGTCAGAACTTCTATAAAAGGAGACATTTTGGTCTCAAGCCTTCAGGTGCATTTTCACGCAATGCCAAAAAGGAAAGAAATTCTGAGTGATATTTGAACTGTTCCTGGCCATTAATCTAGGAAGGGTTAAAAGGCAGTGTTATGAGATGACTTTTAGAGAGAGGCAAGACGTGAAAGACTCCCACCCCTTAAAAATAAAAGTAAATGAATTAAATAAATAAATATTTATTAGTCTTCAATAAGATAAACTAGACCAGATACCATTCTGGAATCCTTCCTGCCTGTAAAATTATTTTTTTAAAATGTGTAAAATTGTGACTGGTGAAGGATTTTTATTAGAACCAATTTGCAAAAGCAATGGGAGAAACACCTCTCTTATGAAAAGAGAGGTTTTTCATAAGATACTACAAGACACCTCTCTACACATGTAACTGTATAATAATGATAAAAGTATTTATTCTGCAGAAAAATGTTCCCCATCACTGCTATATGGATTAGTGTTACTGCTGCAGATGTTTAATGCATAATAGTCTATAAAATCACGGGTTTGTAGTACCTGTCCTATAAGGACCACAACAAAATTTAATCATCTCAGAAACACTAGCCTAGATCATAGATTCATAGATTCAGTCTAAAAAGTAACTTTAAAAAAAATCACTTCTCTCTGGTCAGTCTGTAACAAATGCAAGTATCACTGTGTTAGATTAATGTCTAAACGTTGCAAAAACTAAGAAGACACATACATGCATGTAGCACAGTAACATGGTAACCTGATACCATCATATCATAAGAAGTTATGATATGATGCTAAATAATGCTTTGTGTTCTCCTACACATTGTGCACACCTGCTGAGCTCTGGTTTGCAGTATGAGTTACCATGCCAATATACCCTTGTGATAATTTTCTTTTCAAACCCAGGGTTAACCTTTAAGGTACCTGTATAAGAATGAATCCTGCTTTGTAGTTTAGATAATTTGTACATTAGATAATATTTCATTAGGTCTTGATATGTGAAACTTTGTAACAGGGTGTACTGCAGCTTTTATTTTGGGCCAATTAACACATTTTGGTACTTAGTCAGGCTGACTGGAATACCAAACCATATCAAATTGATATAATTGCTGTGGTTGCCATGGAACTACATACATTTCTGATGAAACTCACCTCAGATTTTTTAAATCTCATATGGTTGCACATGATGTGGAACTCTTTCACACTTCTGCTGCTAACTCCTTCGACAAAATGTGGAACAAAGAAAAATGGATAAAATAACTGGCTCTGTTTGTTTAGAGGGAGAGCGAAGGTCAAGTTTCTGCTTTCGCCATAGCGATACAGGATGTTTAAGATAGTGCTGCTTGCTGTCTTGTGTGTCTTGAGGAAAACGATGTGAGACTTTGGATGGCAGGTTGCTTGAGTGTGAGTATTGTTCTGAGTCTTCAAAAAACTGGAAGGAGTGGGAGAGCGGGTGAGTCTTTTTTCTGTCCCTAGATTTATGTCTTTCCGGGTACTATGGGAAACCAGAGAAGATGGAAGGTCAACGTTTGGTTTGTTTCGGTCTTTTGGTAGAAGCAGCTTGCCCAGTGTAACTTTTCTCCCCTCCTGTTGAGAGCTTGCAAGCCTGCCGATTAAAGAATATGAAGGCTTTTCATGTTGCTCATGTTGATGATTACCATTTGCAGTTTGTTCCATTTGTTGTAATCTTGTGTCTTCAGGTCTTATGTGAGGAAACTCTTTTTCTTTCTTGATAGAGAACTTCATCTGCTGGAGTTGTACTAGCTTGCCATTCCTGGAAAACGTCATAAACACAATAAAATACCTCACTTTCAAATCTTATATTATTGATTCTAGGTCAGGAACTTTTGACATCACATTTTAATGCACTGGAGGTCCTTTACTGTGGCATTTTAAGGAACATTTCAATTTTGTTTAAACAAAAGTGAGGATGTGACTTTCTATATGCCGAAAACTTCCTGTGAAAGGTAAAGGACCACATGGTCCCAGAAATCAGGCAGCATATCAGCTTCTTAGACCCTTATGTAAAATCAAGCCTTAGAAACCTTGGCGTCATATTCGACAGCTCGATGTCACTCGAGCAGCATTCTAAGCAGCTGGTCCGAAACTGTTTTTATCATTTACGGAATACTTCTAAACTCAGACTAATGGTATCAAAGCTTGAACATGAGATGATTATTCATGCTTTTATTTCTTCTCGTTTAGATTACTGTAACGGTCTGTTTACTTGTTTTAACAAATCAGCCTTAAATCGTCTTCAGACTGTGCAGAATGCTGCAGCACGACTCTTAACAGGCACCAAGACAAGATCTCATATCACTCCAGTTTTGGCCTCCCTTCACTGGTTGCCTGCAAATTTTAGGTTTCATTTTAAAATTTTAGTTCTAACCTTTAGGGCCCTACATGGTCAAGCTCCTCAATATTTATCTGACCTGCTGAAACCAAATTCATCTTCTCGGGCTTTAAGGTCATTAGATCAGAGACTGCTGGTGGTACAGCACACTCGTTTTAAAACTCCTGGTGATTGGGCCTTTCAGTGTGAACCTAAGGCTATGTTCACACTAGCCCGGATAGATTTGAAAACGGCATCTTTGTCTGAAAACGCTCCGCGTCCACACTATCGTTTTCAGTCATTTTCACAGAGTTGTGCATCCACATTGAAACGGCAGAAAACGCTTACGTTCCAGTACTGCGCATGTGTGAAATGCAAGATGATTCGACCGGCCTCATTTCTGCTCGCTGTTTATTTACTTTCCGGCTCTTTGAAGCATTGCGGGAAAATGTCGAGGAAAAGCACCAAGTTTTTTAAATGGACTAACAATGAGGTGGGGTTGTTGCTGTGAGTAACACAAAAGTACAAAGTTGCAAAAGTGAGTGAGAATTAAAGAATTTGAAGAAAAGCTATCTGAAGCATGTACAAACTGATATTAATCTTTAATAAGCCTGTCAAAATTGAGAAACAATCACATGACTAAAATGTGTCATCGTTTTCAAAAAGTCTCAGTTTTTGCTGTCCACACTGCAACACGAAAGCACCGTTTTCAAATGTATGCATTTTCGAGAGCGTTTTCAAAATGCGAAAACGCCGTCCCAGTTTGGATCAGAGGCCAAAACGGAGAGAAAATTTGTGTTTGTGTTTGTGTTTTCAAACGATTGGTTTCCCCAATCTTAGAAAACAGTACATTTGCATAATGACTGAAACCAGTCCACTGAGGGAACAATGTGATGGGAGGTCAGTTCCTTCATTATGATGAAGCTGAAACCTGCAGTCAGCTGAGACTGAAGAAGTCACTTGGATGAGTGACGAAACGTTTCTCCCACTGAAAACGCTACGTCCAGATGAACAGAATCAACCTTTGGAGATTTACTTACCTGGATGATTGAGCATGCATCAAGACGATACCATATTATATATTTTAAAGTTTATAATCGTCACATGAGTTATTTTTCACCAATGCTAGATTCAGTAAGAAATGTCCAAAAAAAAAATTAACGATAACAAAGTCCACTTGGTTTGAGAAAATTGGTGTTGAGAATAGGACTTTACCTGGCCTGATGGGTGACAAAGGTCTGAATGGCAATACAGACTCCCAGCAAAATGAACAGTATCCACAGAGAGTGATGCCTGCTGTGCAGCAATCTCTTCCTCTTCACAAACCTACAAAAACATATACACACACAGACACACACAAACACACTTTTAAATGGATAAAGTGACTGTTGCCACGTTGTATTGAGACTGGGTTATGAGAAAAAACTAAGTGACAGAAATTTTTTGCTGAAATGTGGTGAAAAGCAAAAAAATTCTACTGAAAGGGGTAAAGACGGAGAAATTTTTGCTGAAAAGTGGTGGAAAAAAAACGTTGTCCTGAGCAGGATTCGAACGTGGCCCTCCTGGTCTCAAGGTAGATACTCATCTCACTGAGCTAAACTTATTCTCACAAAGAAGAGGTGGAGAGACTGACAATTCTACTGAAATGAGCAGACGCTGCTGAGAATTGTGCTGATAAGAGGTGAAAAGGCAGAAAATTCTGCAGAAATAGGTGAATCAGCAGAATTTCCGCTGAAAAGAGACGAATCTTACTAAAGTATTGATATTTTAATGTGAGAATCGATTCTAGAACATAAATGACTGGTATCAGAGGAATCGATATTTCAGTATCGATCCGCACATCACTATCAATCAAGTCAAACTTCTGTTATTGCGAAGCTAGCCGCTCACAATGGCGAAGAGAAAAGTTGAATCTGAAAGCAGAGCCTTTCAGCGCCATGCAGTGGGTGACTGAATATATGTTTACAGACATTGCTGGTAAACCCGTGTGTCTTATTAGTGGAGCTAATGTGGCTGTAATTAAGGAATTTCATTTAAGACGGCACTACAAGACAAAAAGTCAGGATAAGCTGAAAAACCTAAGTGCAGAGCAGAAACTAAAGAAAGTAGAAGAGCTAAAGAAGAATGTAACATTTCAGCAGACCTTTTTCACCAGAGCAAAATCACAAAGGGAAGCTGTTGTGAAAGCAAGTTTTATTGTAGCAGAGGAGAAAGCCAAAGTACCACTCTGAAGAGCTGCATGATGAAGGTGTGCGACATCTTGTGTCCAGACAAAACGCAGATTTTGGCAAATGTGAGCCTGAGCAGAAATACGATTGCTGATCGGGTTTGTGAGATGGCCACTGATTTAAGAACACAGTTGTGTGAAAGAAGCAAAAACTGTCATGGTCCTGAGTCTGAGGATTTTTCTTTATGGCAACAGTAAACTTGTGCTTCATACCTTATTGTGTTTCTTTATATTATTCTTTGTTCTCGGTTATTCTGTTTTGTCTTTTG